GCTGCCAGGCCCTTGGAGGAGGTGGGTGTCGTTTCTGGTCCAGTGCCCAGGGAACCACTCACAAAGATGCTATAATAAGGGGAGGGGGAGGTACCAGCCCCTTCGCCCAGCTCTGTGAGCAGACAGGAGAAACTATTTTTAACCCGCTTTGCTGCTGACAGACCTGGCTTTCTGCTCAGCTGGCTGGAGCTGATTCTCGAGGCCCGAGGCCCTGGCACAGCAAGAAGCAGCTCTAAATATACCCAGGCAGCAGCCCCTCCAGCCCCCACCACCAAGTGGGGCTAGGCCCTCCTCAGGAAACTGGGCCACCTGGGAAGCTGGCCCACCACCCAGCCCTCTCAGTGTCTGCCCATCTCAAGTCAGGCAAGTGGGACTGAGGCCAGAAAACTCCCTGGTGGAAGTTTCGGACCCTGAGAATCTGGGAGGGACTGAAAAAAGGAGCTCTGGACTGGGAGGCAGGAGCTCTGACGTCAATCTGCTTTGTGATGGAGGTGGGCCAGGGCCCCTCTCTGGGCCTCAGTGTCTGCAGAACCAGGACCCCAGAAAAAGTGCCCATCGTGCTCCCTAAGACACAAGCTAATTAAAGCTCTGAAGGGGGGACCTCGTATACAGGAAGTGCTCATAGTGCCAATCATCACTTTTATTAATTATTTACAAAAATTCACAAGGGCTGCAGCATCTTCTGGAACAGCTTCTCCCCACCCTGAACACCCCATCATCCCCTCAGATGCAGGCCAGCTGGTGGATATTATTTGAAGAAATCTACCACCCTGCTAATTAGAAAAATCTTTCCTCCCCCAGCCAGTCTCCATGCCTGCTCAGGTGTTTGGGGGGAAAAAACCCACAGGCTTCAGAGGGTTTCAACCCCAACACCTCCTCTGATAACCTTGGGCGAGTCCTCTCCCCTCTCTGGGCCTCTGGGCTTATTAGTGCAGCGTTCGGCCCCCAGTGCCGGGAGGGGTGCACAGGGAGCTGGAGCATTAGCGATCCTGGCTGTAGTGCTGGGAGATTCCCCCACACGCATTCCCACGGGTCCGAGAGCAGGAGGAGACAGAGTCTGAGAGGGTCCTGCACCCTAATTCTGATGAAATCCCCTTCCCACCACTCCTCTGGGTGCGGGGCTTTTGAAAAAATGGACTCTGGACCTCCAATCTGAACTATCGAGACCCTTAGGGAAAACCAGAAGTCATTCTCAGGTGACATGTACACGACATCTCCCCATCACCCCACCCGGCAGGGATGGCTCTGGTTCCTACCCTAAACTGGGGGCGTTTGAGCCCGGAGAAGCTTCGTGACCTGGTGGAGGTCAAAGATCTAGGGTATGAGTACAAGGGCCAGGATGGAAGCCAGGTCTCTTCTCTCTGGGTCTCTGGGCTTCCCTGCCTCTCTGAGGACCCAAACAAGAGAGCCCTGTCCCACTCTGTCAGCTGAGGGACAGCAGCTCAGCCTTCTATAGTCACCTGTGAGGCAGAGAGGGGCACCCAAAACCCATCCGGGTTCCATGTACAGAGTTAAAACATGGCTTATAGTGTCCTAAAGAATTCTCCAGAGCTGAGGCCCCGACAGGTAAGGTGCTTTGGGCAAGGCCGCCCAGCGACCCTGGGCGTGTTGCTTAACTACCAGGTGCTCAAGACATTCATGTGTCTCCTGCTCTCTGGCCAATTGGAAGGATGTCACCAGGAAATTAAGGGATAATAATAATGATAATAACAGCTTGAGAGGCTATTGTATGCCAGGCATTGTACTGAGGACTTTACATGCACTAATCCATTCACTCCTATTACAAGCTTCCTTACACAGAGGTGACATAAAAAGGTTAAAGAACTTGCCAGAGGTCACTACGCTAAGGAGAAGTCAGTGGATCTGAGCAGAGTGAGATGGAGATGATGGGGTAGGGGGATGAGGGACAAGACCACGGCATCACTGAAGAAGCTATTCAGCACCAGGCAGAAGGAGTCTTCAGAGCATCTCAGTCACCCTTAATCCATAGAGACCAGGTCCAGGGAGGCGAAATGACCTAGCCAGGCTCACAAAGCAAGTTAGACTACCTCCTTCTAATAGCCCCACTCCATCCCACAGCCCATGCCAAACTCCACAACTGCTGGGCATCAGGTGTGGCCCCACGAGTTCCTGTCTCAAAGGCAATTCCACACCTCTTCTTACGTAGATGAACAACCTTTCTGGAAGGTACCCCTATTTCTATATAAACTCCCAGAGACAGGAGTAAGATGCTGTAGTGCTGCCAGCCACCACCAGAGGGCGCTGTGGGTAGAGAGCATAGTTTGGGTGAGGACTGCCTGGTTCATTAAACTGTATTACCTTCCAGCCGTTTCCTGAACAAGAACATGAAGTAGAAATTACATATCCTGGGTGAGGAAACAGAGAGGAGCAGGAAGATGTGTCCAGGCAGATGCCAAGAAAACTGCAGCACAAAAACCCCTCTGGGGGGATCGTTATTATTACTTAACAATAACAGCCAACACGTCTTGTGGGTTTACAATGTGCCAGGCACTAAGTTGGAATCCTGACTCGAAATTACTAGCTGTGCAGCCCTGGGCATGTTCTTGAACTACTTGTGCCTCAGCTTCCTCATCTGCAACATGGTAGCAACCTTAGAGTCACACGGGTAAAATGCATCCCTGTGTGTGAGGCCCGTAAACAAGCGTCTGACACATAAGTACAGTGACAGTGTCGGTTATTATTTACTTTTCACTTACTGTTCACTCCTGGGCTCCTTCCTACAACTGTGTGAACTGGACCCCTTTATTATCCCTCGCTTTACAGCTAGGAAAGAAGGAGCAAAGAGAGATCGGGGAGTTGGTCCAAGATCGCACAGCTGGGAACAGTAAAGCTGGAACTCAACCCAGGCAGCCCGGCTCTGAAGTGTGCGCCTAACCCGCACGCCATCCTTCCTTCGCGACAGAACGTGCAGGGCACCGGTCGCCTACTCGGCCACGCCTACAGAGACTGCGTTCTATTCCCATAACCAGTGAAAGGACCTGAGGCACAGAAAGATGCATGACTTCCTCAAGGACACCCAGCTAGAACCTGTGTAGGGAATCGAGTCACTCCCAAACCAGGCAGGCAGGACAGCCCGTAGCAGACCCAGCTGGGCTGGCCTGGCAAATCTTTATCACCCATTTCACAAACACCGAATGCCCACTAGCCCGACCCCTGGGTATAGGTAGTGAACATCCCAGCCTCCACCCCTTCCTGGGGGCCCTCCCAGTTTGGGAAACTGGGGAGCAACGCAGTGAGTTCTACGCCATGCTCCATCCCCTGAGCAAGTACCGCCACCACTCTGTACCTGTTTCCTTCTCTGTAATATAAGAATTTTTGTGATGGCTCAGTGAGGCAAGTGAGGGAAGTGAAGCACTCAGCCCAGAGCCTGGCACATCGTAAGTGCTTAATACATACAAGCTATGAGTATTACCACCAGTAATTACAATGGGAAGAATTACTGAAGGAGAAGGAGGGAGTCCGGGTAATTAACTCAGATATTAAACAACAAGTATTTAACTCAGTCTGACACAATAGTCCCTGAACGCTGGGGGCTTGAGTACTAGGCCTGACTCCTGGAGTGGGAGGTGGGAGACTCTCCAGACTGAAGGCAGGCAGGGGGGTGGGGAATGGGGTGCTGAGAGGCTGTGCAAGCCTCCCCCAATTAAAAAACTGGTACCACCACGGCCCTGTCGGCATCTGACCACAGAGCCCTTCCCTACTGAGGCCTCCACCCAGACCATCCCCAATCACATGCGTGTGCCGAGGGTCCTGTGCAAGCAGCGGAAAGGGTAGAGGTACAAATAAGGGTACATCCTGTCTTCAGGGTTGGCAGACAGTCTGCACAGATTGGCCCTCTGACCACACTAAATGCCAGATGACAGGCGAAGGGGGCCTAAACCCTACTGCTGTCTGGAGTCGGAGGACTGAATCCCCAGAGGCAGACATCAGAAGGCATCTAGTGAGGCAGGGAGCAAAGCAGGTTCCAGAGTAAGGACACTGCAAGGAAGTCCCCTTCCTGGAGCACCTGTTATATGCCACTCACTTGACCTGAAATCCCCCAGCAGCCCCCGGTGGCGGTGGGGCGGGGAGGTGTTGTCCACCAGGTGTGTGATCCATTCAGGCAACATCTACCCATCGCCCACCTCTTCTGAGCCAGGCACAGGCTGGGCACAGGGATCTGCCCCAGGGAAGCTGGGCCTGTCGAGGGAGGCAGACAATTAAATAATCTTCAGTGAAATCACTGTTTCAAGCAAGTAAAATGCACAATTATGATAGCTAATATTTATATAGCAATTACTGTGTGCTCCCTTTCTCTCTTTCTCAATTTCCTTACATGGGAAACGGGGATTATAATGAAAGCTACTTGGTAGGGTCTGTAACCATTAAATGAGCCAACATGGGGAAAGTGTGGAGGGAGAACCTGGAGCACAATAAGAGCTTAATACGCGGTACTGCTCATCACTTCACCAAGTGTTTCCAAAACCCTGGGAAGGAGTGCCCAATTACAAGCTCTATTTTACAGATGTGGAAACAGGTTCAGAGAAGCTGCAGAACTAGAACAGTAGAACGATGTCAGAATAGGGAAGGCATGAGCTTTGGCGTCAGGGTGCCGAGGTCTGAGTCCTGGCTCCATCCTTTACCAGCGGTGAGCTGAGGCTCCGTGTGCCTCAGTTTCTCTATTTGTAAAGTGGGTGCAATAAAAATAAGACCTTCACGGTATGACTGTAAGCACTTGACAAGCTGGGGAAAACGAGCCCACTAGAACAGGGCGGGGACACTGCTCCAGGAGAGTGGGTGGGGATTACTTTGCAGTCCATGCAGAAAGGATTTGAACCCACGCAGCCTGACACCAAGAGCAGGCACCAAAGATGCCCCACCACGGCCTTACCAGCAGCCATCATCTTCCAAGAGCTGGAGGGCCTGGGGAGAGATCCGCCCCAAGGGGGAAGCCCTCTTCCGCGCCTCACCTTCCTCCTGCTCCCTTCTCGCCCCTCCAGGTTACGCCCCGCATTGCCTTCCTCCCAGCAGCTACGATGTGGACCAGAAGCCAGGCCTGGAGCTGGCGCCGGTCGAGCCTCCGTACCCGCCGGCGGCGCCAGAAGAGTACAGCGACCCCGAAAGCCCGCAGTCCAGCCTGTCGGCGCGCTACTTTCGCGGGGAGGCGGCCGTGACCGACAGCTACTCCATGGACGCCTTCTTCATCTCAGACGGGCGCTCTCGGCGACGGCGGGGCGGGGGCGGCGGGGACGCGGGGAGTGCGGGAGACGCCGCGAGCGCCGGGGGGCGCGCGGGGCGCGCGGGGGCGCCTGCGGGCGGTGGGCACCGGCACGCGTGCGCCGAGTGCGGCAAGACCTATGCCACGTCCTCGAACCTGAGCCGCCACAAGCAGACGCACCGCAGCCTGGACAGCCAGCAGGCGCGCAAGTGCCCGACCTGCGGCAAGGCGTACGTGTCCATGCCCGCGCTGGCCATGCACGTGCTCACGCACAACCTGCGCCACAAGTGCGGCGTGTGCGGCAAGGCCTTCTCGCGGCCCTGGCTGCTGCAGGGCCACATGCGCTCGCACACGGGCGAGAAGCCCTTCGGCTGCGCGCACTGCGGCAAGGCCTTCGCCGACCGCTCCAACCTGCGCGCTCACATGCAGACGCACTCGGCCTTCAAGCATTACCGCTGTCGCCAGTGCGACAAGAGCTTCGCGCTCAAGTCCTACCTCCACAAGCACTGCGAGGCCGCCTGCGTCAAGGGAGCCGAGCCGCCCCCGCCGCCCCCTGCGGGCCCCGCCAGCTGAGCCGGCCGCATCACCGCCGCGCCCGGAACTCGCTCGCTACGCGCCCCGGGCCCCCTACCTGTGCCCTCTCCAACCCCCAGCTGCGTTTCCCTGTCCACGACCCTCGTGGCGCCCCCTCTCCCAGCCCGGAACTTTTCTCTCCAGTCCCAAACCCACAATTCTCCTGGCACTGTCTTCCCCAGCGCGTCCCGACCCGTTCGCCCCTTCCGGCTCCCAACACTCGAACCTTGACCCCCCTGTCCGCCCCCTCAAGGCTCCCAACTCAGGCACCAGGTCCGCGCCCCTTCTGGGGCTCAGAGCCGGAATTCTCTCCCACCCAGACCCTGCGCCTTCCCCCCGTCCAGCCTTCAGACCTCCCCTCTCACTTCTCAGCTGAGGCGCCGTGGTCTCTCCTCCACTGGAGGCCCCAGGCTAAGGCTCAAACTTACCCTCGACTCTCACGCCCGCCGCCTGCCTTCGTTTTCCCGTCCACACTCGGACGCAGGGCCTGCAGCCTCTAAGCCACATTCCAGCGGCCGGCCATCCCTCGGGCCTCTTTGGAGAGTCTCTTTGTATGTGTCAGCCACCATCCCCGCCACACCTGGGCCTTAGGCCAGACGTTCACACACAGCCATCGCCCACCCACCCTCTTCCATCCCGGGGGTCTTTCCCAACCACCTCCCGCTCTCTCCAGACCCCCTCTTCCCTCTAGCATCTCTCGCCCCTCAGAGTTCTCCTGACTTGGGGCAGACTTCAGGGGCAGTTCAGGCTTCACCCCTAAAGAAACCCCTCTCTTACCCCGGACATGCTGTCCCTGGGTTTCCAGACTCAAGCTGCCCAATCCCGATTCTCTGAGCACTTTCCCTCCCTAGGACTGCAGGTACCCCTCCTTATTTGTTGCAGGGAGGTCTGGGGCACCTCACAAATGCCCGTGCCCCGTCCGTCTGCCCCCCCCCAGTTATTTATTTGTGTATTTATTTATTTATCTATCTATTTATTATCATATTTAGTCTCTTGTCCTCACCCAGGGACAGTCTGGCTTCCCCAGCTGGACTGGGAGGTCAGGGAGCCAGACAGGGAGAGGGACAGCAAGGCCATAGGGGGCTGTCCACCCCACCACACCCCACACCGTCTTGGGGAGTGCGAGCGCAGCCCCGCCCTCATCAGAGCCTGAACTCGCTGGGGAAGGAGGCACAAAAACGGGAGGCTGGCCCACCGACCCGAAGCTGGGGTGGGGGAGGCGTCAGGAGGTCCAGGCATGGGGCAGGCCCCCGCCCTCCTGAGCCTTCCACTCCCACTCCAGGGAGACCGGAGCGAGGAGCTTCCTTTTTTGTTTCCTGTTGATTCCTCTTCTCGAGGGACCCCCAGGTTCCAGGGACCGACTGAGCCCCGGACCCCGCTGGGGCCTCCCTCCCGCTTCGCTCCCCGGGAGGAACGCTCCCTCCCGGCCACGTCTATGCAACTCTCCCGGGCAGAGGGGCCGGGGCTGCCAGTCGCCCCCCGATGGCCGCCACTACCTCCCCAGCCGCGCTTTGGCATGCCCGGGCGAGGACCGAAGCACACACCTCCGCGCTTACGGGGCCGGCCCTCTCGGCTTTAAGCACACGCCTCTGCCCCACCACTAGGCGCCCACCTCGGGGACAGGAGTCCTGGAGTCTCCGACCCTCCCCCTCTGCCCCTAACCACAAAGGAGGGTGGAGACTGGAGGGGACCCTGGAGTAGGGCCACTTCTCTAGGGCTTCCTGGTTCCAGGTCCACCCCGGAAAGAAGGCGGCAGGGATGGGGGGAGGAAAAGGCGTCGCAGAAGCAATTACGGAGGGTGTTGACCCTGTACATAGGAACTTCCGACAGCAATAATTTTCCATGCATGCTAGCCTTCTGGCCATATTTTGTATGAGCGCTTGGCGCTCCCCCCTCCCTCCTACTCCCCATCTCCTGACCCAGACCCCCCATTCCTCCCTCATTTCCAGCAGTATTACTTGTAACGCAATTCAGGGATATTAAAGGGACTTTGGCCACTCATCAGCGCCTCTAGACCTGGTGATTGGGGCGGGGACAAGGGTGGGGTCGGGAATGTGCTGAGAGGAAGAGGGATTTTTTTTTCCTACTCCATTTCCATTCGCGTAGCCTGACCCGCCTGTAGCTGCCACCAGGGGTCGCACACATCTAGGGGTCCCGTGACGTCTACGGATCGCAGGCTTCCTCAGTCCTAAACAGTCCTCAAATACTGGGTCCACACTCAAGGAGTTCAAGAGCCGAATTAATAACCTAAGTGAATACAGCAGGCCGCCCGAATACACTGAGGAATGTGGAGCCAGTGACTACCGGGAAAGAATGCAGTACTCGGCTTGAAGGACCGTAATTCTAATCACGCCCGGCAGACAGACTGGGAGCCACCTTCGTCCCTGAACAACCAGCTCACAGCCCCTGCACTCTGTGTAAGCCCCAGCTTACAGCGCCTTCCTGCTCTGGCCAGAGGCCTCCTGGTCACACGAGCAGCAAAGGCATGCGTGCAAAAAAAGCTGACTTTGGCTGAAAGTTGTCCAAAAACACTGAACTGCCGCTAGAGGTCACGGGCTACCTGTTGTTAAGTGTTCAGGAGCCAGGACCAGTCCCCCTTCTGTACTAGCAGTCTTGGTGATCTCTCAAAACACAAACCCGCCCTTACCTCACTCAAAAACTGGGAGCCACCAACCCCAGGCCACTAAACCCCAGCCCCCCACACAGAGGCACTGAGCAGTGGGGCCTGCGCACTTCAAGAGGTGGCTGCCAGGCCGGCGGGGACAGGGGCTGGAGGGTGGCACCCATCTCGGGCTGCCTTTCCAGTTTCCTCCTTCTGTCCGCAGTGTACGCAACTTTGGGGCCCTTGTCCTGTGTACCTCTAGACCCTGGTGCCGGCCCGCCTTTCCCTTCGCACACTCTGCACAGGCAGCTGCACCCTGAGCTGGGCGCTGCGCGTCTCCAGCAATGACAGCAGTGTGGGAACCCCCACAAAGTTTCCACCGGGATTGTGTGTGTGGGGGGGTGAGGCACCCGCTGCCTTCCCTGGCCACCCACACGCAGTCTTCTGTGGCTACTACGCACCGCACCTGAGCAGCTGGTGCATCCATTCCATTTGTTTCCCATCCAGGAAACGGAACCCTGGCTCTGGCAGCATTTTACAACATCTCATTCCTGTATTAAATCTCTCTGAAGCGGTAAGTAGTTAACACAGGGAATTGGCTGCTGGAAAAGATTGTTGCAAGGGCTGAAGGCCCTCAGCTGGGCCCTGGCCCGCCCCACAGAACTGGCCCGTGAAGGGAGCCGCTGTCTGGCAGGAGGCTGCAGTCCCAAGTTCAAGAACCGCCCAGCAGGTGTGACCCAGGGATCCAGAAGCCCCTGCCACTGCCTCTGTAACTTCTCCCGGCGCTTACCTTCCAGGGTGTGGCTCACCCTGGAACAGTGTTACAAGGGAACTTAGCCCCTCCACCACCATCTGGCCAGTGGTAAGAGACAAGACAGTTAGAAAATGGCCCCTGCCCGCTTCGCCATCCAAACCCCACAGAAGCAATTCTAACTGGCAGAACCGAATTCGCTGTCCGTCTCCTTGCTGCAGGGAAGTCTGAGAAACGTAGTGTTAACTCTCCGACACACAATGTGGAAGGCACCCTGCAGGGAGATGGGAATGGACTATATCCGGCCCAGGTGTAGGTTCCCTCCTTGACTGGGAGCCATGCAATTTGGGGTCATCAGCTTGAGGGGTGGCCTTAACTGGTCCAAGAGTAATCTCATCCCCTATGGGTTGGGAAGTGGGGGTGTGACTCAATTTTAGCTAATTGGACTTAAGAAGTTTGCTGGAAGCTTACAGGGAATTTTGCTTCTTCCCCTCTCTTAAGAGAAAGGAGGCGAGTGAGGTCTCCTTCCCCCTGGACATAAACAAAGAAGCGTGTCATCTCATGACCACGAAGGGAACCAGCCTTGGCTGGTAGCACGGAGCTCACAACCTGGATGGCAGAGCAGAGAGACGGGAAAAGTGCACGTCCCGATGACGTCAGCCAGTCGTGGGAAAGGCCACCCTGAAACCCACTCAGTGCGCTGCCTCTGGACTTTGTGGTGAGTGACCCGAATGTCTTCACTGTGCGAGTCGGCCGAACCAGGGTGCTGCTGCCTGCAGCCCGGAGCACCTCAGCCAGAATATCAGTCCAGCTCGCTTTCCACAGTTCTCTCAAAGGTCTCCATGAAGCGACACTCTGGTTTTCCTCCAGCCTGCCTGGCTGCCCCACCCAGCCCGAACCGGAGAAAGGAAGCTACCCACTGTCCCTCCTCTGTTCTGGTCTGTGCTGCTCGAGGCCCTCGCCTAGACTCCTGTTCTCGCTGCACATTCCCATGATGTAATCTCATTACACCATGGCTTCCATTTCCAGCCACAGACAGATGACTCACAAATGTACACTTTCAATGCCAACCTCCTCTCTGAGCTGCAAATCCATATCTGCCTGCAGGCCGCCCCCACAGGAACGTCCCAGAGGCACCACAGGCCAGCCCCAGTCTGGAGCCACGATTTAATTCTCCTCCAGGGTTTCCCAGCTCCGGGAGCGGCACAAGCACCCATCTAGCCTTTCAGCCACGAGGTCCAGAAGTCCTCTCTCCCAGCCCTGTCTCCCCCACCCTCCCATCCAATCCATCCCCAGGTTCTGTTGATTTTTCCTCTCTGTCTTCTCAGTCTCCAGCCCAGTCCGTACCTGCCACCATCTCTTACCTGGACAAATGGACCAGCCTTCTCACTGGCCTCCCCAGGCCCATTTCGCCTCCCACACCTTCCATCCTCCCTCCAGAGCGGCCACAGGAGATCTTTTTAAAAATGCAGATCTTATCAAGTGACTTCTATCTCTATTCTCTGCTCAAAATACTTCCATGACTTCGCACGGTGTGTGGGGAAAGTGGAACTTGTTTAGGGCAGCTTCGAAGCCCGACCTGGTCTAGCTCCTTCCATCAGTCCAGCTGAATTTTCGACCAGTGCTCTCGGCTCTTTGAGTTCCTGC